ACGGCTATATGAGAGAGACAGATCAGTGAAAGTTTGATGAAGATCAGAGTCGCACAAGGAGATTTGAGAAGCATTATATCTCGTCACCGGCATAGGACGCGGGGAAGACGTACTGCTTTCGGGTCTTTGTCAGTCTGGTCGGCATCGTGACAGCGGCTGCCGAGTTGCAAGATCGAGAATATGGTTGTGGTTGTTGAATCAATCTTTTTGATGCATCTACCTGCGGTCTCGAATGTGGAATTGCCAGTCTAGCGTTAGTTCTAGCGCGATAGTCCTAAAGGGTATTAGGGCTTGGGCTCTTGGCTTTATTACATAAGGTAGACTGACTTCTCGTCATGCTCCCAGCCTGATCTTTGGATACAACATCATATAACATCTATTCTTTAATCTAACAACAATCTTTTTGACATAACTATATTTAAACTCTAGTACTCCTACTTTTGTACATCTTGACAAGTATTTCCTTAATCGTAGACCTACAGAACACCCGCATAAGTCTTACTGGCCTGGCCAGAACATGCGGTTTATCATGCTGCTCCATACTCGCTAAAATTTACTGTCTACACTGTTCTTGCATCGTTTTCTCAGTCCTTCAGACTACCTCCCAGCATGCCACCCTCCCGCGTCTCTTCACCTCCATCTGACCCACAACCCCTAACCGATGGCCTCACTCCCAAGCAGCTCCAACAATTCCATACCGACGGCTATGCCATCATCCCAGACTACCTCGACCAATCCAGATGCACCGCCCTCCTCTCCACCATCAGCACCCTCCTCCACGACTTTCCGCTCAAAGACCACCCGATGACCAAATTCTCCACCGGCTCATCCTCCTCCGCCCACGTTGGGGACACCTACTTCCTAACCTCAGGCGACCAGGTACGCTTCTTCTTCGAAGAAGACGCCTTCTCCAAGCACTCAGCCGTGCTGACCCGACCCAAAGAAAGAGCCATCAACAAGATCGGCCACGCGCTCCATACCCACATCCCGGCCTTCGCCGCCATCTCCCACACCGGGCCCACCGGCCAGCTCAACGCGAAGATAGCCTCCCAGCTCGGATTCCACGACCCCCGCTTGCTGCAGAGCATGGTCATCTGCAAACAGCCGGAGATCGGGGGCGCGGTGCCCCCGCATCAGGACAGCACGTTTCTGTACACACGCAGGCAGGACGCGACGGCGGAGAATGGGTGTTTGAGTTTTGCGCGCGGGAGTCATCGGAGGACGCCTGTGAGGCGCCGGTTTGTGAGGGCGACGGAGGAGGGAGGCGGGGAAGGGACCGGGTTTGAGGATGTGGACGTTGGCGATGAGGAGGCGAGGTGGCCGCGGGGGTTTGAGCATGAAAGAGAAGAGGAAGAAAAAGGGACGCAGGGGAGCGAGGCTGAGGAGGAATTCGAGCTGGGAGAGGTGAAAGCAGGCACCTTGGTGCTGATACATGGGAACCTGCTGCACAAGAGCGAGAAGAATCTAAGCCAGAAAGGCAGGATTATATATACGTTCCATGTGATCGAGGGAGAAGAACAGTATGACGAGAAGAATTGGCTGCAGATACCGGGTGGACCGGAGGCGTTCACGAAACTCGATGTTAGTTAAGATCTGCCGTTGAGCATCTACTGGCTATGATTAATGATACCATGTCAAGTGTACATTTATCTCACCGCGGGCCGGGTGCAAGCAACATGATACCAAACCTCAAATACGTAGAGCAATTCCCGGTTCAGAACCTTGGCTCTTTTCGACAGGCGTGCCATCATGATAGATGGGCACAAATATCCCCCAAATCTCGGCTACCCACTTACCTACAGCGAACAAGATTCTCCCTAAACCGATTCAAAGTCCCCATCACGGTATATTCTTTCAATCCCCCCAAGTCTTCTTCCTCGGCCTCGGACTCGTCATGGTAGGCATCTCGTAACTCGGCCCCGTAGTGCTGCTCTGCTCCTGTTCGTCCGGCACACGGTCTCTCGCAGGTGGTGGTGGAAAATAGGGTTGTTGTTGGGAGGCTGGGATATGTGCTGGATGTTGGTAAAGTGGGTTGTGGATCGGGGATGCGACCTGGGTCGCCTGTGAGGAGGCGGAGTGGAGGGGTGGGGAGTGAGGGTCTTGGTATTGGTCTTGATTTGGGGCTGGGCCTGGGGCTGGGGCTCTGATCATGGGTGGGGGAGTGCTGGTGTATGAGAGGTCCGGGGAGGCAGGTGGGCGGGCTAGGGCGGGATGCATCGTTGTTGGTGGTGCGGAGGGGAAGGGCTTGTGTTCGATGTAGGAGGGGAGGTGAGCTGAGGGTGGGAGGGGTGATGGCTGACTTGGTTCAACGGTGGTGGGACTGCTTCGGACACGTAGCTCGGGAGGCGGTGATGGCTGGCTCTTTGGGTCATCTCTGACTTGTTGGCCGGTTCACGTCTTCCACGTCTGCGTATGCAGAGGAAGATTGCGAGACCCGCTAGCAGTAAGAAGGCGACTGCGCCGCCTACCGCACCGCCGATGATAGCGCCTCTGTTGGACCTGCTACTTTGGTTGGGGGTAGATCCCGTTGTGGGCAGCGCTCGAGTCGGTGTTCTTACAGCATGCGTTGCTTGCTGCTGGAAATAAACAGGTAGATCACGGTGGTCCCAACCTTGTGTCGGAGCCGTCACAGTTGCGCCTCCGACAGGGCTTCCACCCACGACTGAGATGATCTCTGAAGGCACGTTGTAAGTAGTCAGATTTGGATTAAACAGATTCCACTTGGCCTGGTCCGGATTGTTCTTTCCAAGGTCCAGATTGTGCGTTCCAACAACATCAGGCGCATCACAGGCATCAGTCGCAGGAAAAGTACCTCCGATGATGAGCATCTGCGCGTTGTCAACAACGTTACAGCTTAAACTATTGTGCGGACTGCCGGGTCCTGGCTCAGTAGGATACCATTTGATCCATGTGAAGGATGGGAGCGTGAGGATATACACATCATCGAAGCCAGTGGCATTCTCCGCGAATCCTGCTCCACCATAGAGGTAGATGTTGTATGAGGACTGGTCTTGGGCCCATGTTGCTCCGGCGCAGAATTTACGCCTGTTCTCCGGAACTTGGCCTGTTGCATTCTGCTGGTACCATTTGCCTTCCGCAATGTCATACAAGAAAATGGTGCTCATTGACGACTGAGAAGCAACGTCAGCAATGAGAGAGTAGAACGAGACATTCCGTATGGCATGCATGACTTACTGCGACTTCTGTCGAGTTCCGGTAGGGAAAGGCGACTCCGCCAAAATACACCAGCAGACCTTGCCGAGATGCTGGAATGGTAACCATGACACCTTCTGCCCTGCCGACGGAATCTGGCCCTGTATTATTCGTCCAGCTGTTCGCTATCATATCATATCTAACCAGAGTGCTCGTCGCTAAGGGAGAAGCATTCCAGCCTGGCGTTGTACTGTTGTTGAGATATCCCCCATAGTAGTAACCCTCAGCCCTGCCACCAACGGTTGTCCCAGCGCCCCAGGCGACTCTTTGCACTTCGGAAGATGTGGCGGACTGCGCGGTGACATTCCACTGGTTCAAAGGAATATCATAGGCCCATAGCTCAAAATTGTTAGGTACGAGAGGATATTCGCCTCCATAGAGATAAAAGACTTGATTCACGTCATCCTCCCATAAGATGCCACCGGAAACGCTTGGAACCGTCGCGTTCTTGGACAGATTAGCGAAAGGCTTCGGCATTCCATTTTCGAGGACGTCTAGATCCTGCACCAGCAGATTCGGATCTGTTTGTTGTGTCAACAACAGAGGAAGCATAGTCTAGTGAAAGCATACTTGCGACTGCTCGAGGGTTTTGAGAGAGCGGATTTGCGTTGACAAAGCCGCCGTCGATGTAAAGTTGCCGGTTGATAAGAGCAGTTTGATGAGAGAAGCGTCGACAGAAATCTTGTACCGGATCGCTTGGAGCTTGCGACAGCACCGAGTCCAATATCACCAAGCAAAAACCAAGAAGCAAGAACGAGATTGAGCGAGCCATGAAGGCGGCTCTGTCTTGCAAGTCGCAAAACAGTCACAGAGCGTGAAATGAAGATCGAAATGAACGGATGGCCATCACTCCGCGAGACCGGCGCCAGGAGAAAAGAAAGAGGAGAACATTTTAGCATCAGGTCTTGTAGAATCCGATGACCTGGTGTTGGGCAAGTCGTGGAACCTGCATGCTGAAAGCTGCAGACTTTGGGCGACGGAGTCAGGCCCTCGGTGATCGACGACTATGGTCCCCGCTGGAGCTGAAGATCACTGGTGGCCGTTGTGGTGTGTGTATCTGACCTGCCTCCTTTGGGCCATAGTGCAACACATCAAATCATGATCACAAGGCTTTTACCAGTAGGCATGAGTGGGCACAACTCCAGCAGCCTGGCGAGGAACGACGTAGATAGTAGGGTGGATGCATGCAAATGGCGTCCAATGTTATGCTCCGCCTTGATCAGCTAACGAGCACGACGTCTTGATGCCTCCAATCGCTGAGAGATTGACAAATTCTTCAGGATTTTGGAAAGCTAAGAGAACTGTCATCCAAAGGGCTCTTCTTCCGAAGAAGGATAAAATGTGTGAAATGCCGCACGAAATCTAGGAAGGGCCGTGGTTATACGAAAAGACGAGTCCAGGTTTGAAGGGGAAATGGCTCGATCGTGGAGGTGATTGGATGAAGCTGGCTCTTTTGGTGGAGCGAGGCTGAAATGCAGGAGGCCTGAAGAGACTAACTACGTAGTAGAGGTGGCAGTTTTGTTCCCAGCCACTATCCACTACGGAATATCAGTATCGCGTAAGGCCTGGAGTTCTGCAGACATCCGGTGACGACCAATGTCCTTACCTACTATGTACCTACGTACCTACGTACCTATGCGGAGAAGGGTTCTGAAAATGACCCCCTATTGGTCCTTTGCCGGTTTCCAGATGCTTTGTCGGTCCAGGATGGTCAAAGGGAGATCGGGTGATCATAATCTAGCCGTTATATGGGCATAATTTTAGAAGAGGATGTCTAAAATAACACAATTTCTTTGGATGTAGATGTCTTAGCTACATATTTCTATGCAATCTATGCATGCAAAGTAGATCATACAGATTGACGGTAATCTAGACATAACTGTTAGAGTGCATGTTCTTACTGAGTGTAGCAGGACGTAGCGGGCTCGAATGCCACAACATTGACCCGGGCTGTTGCTATCTCACCGCCCTCCTCCCCGTGAAACGTTCATAACGCAGCTCCAAAAAGACCCTACACAGCCACGTTAGGAAGGATTCTCGTTACACAGCGCAGGAACCCTTGAAAGCACGTGGGGGATATGATATATAATTCTTGAAAAATATCTCCGGACGATGCTCTCCAGGAGCTCGGCATCGCTCAAAGTAGTAGTGATTCCTTATGACCAAGCTACTTGAACGCTTTTCCAACTGTAGAAGGGAAGATCTTCATGAGCCTCTACCGTACAGGTACGCGCTTAGAGAAGAGTCTGATTCAAGCACCATGGCCCTGGATACATCTTCACTCATCTTCTGCGAGCCTTGACGGTTTCGTGTGTGGAGCATGAGCCTTGCATCATGCTCCTCTTGGAGACAACATCCCGGGTCACTGGCGTGACTATCCTCTTTGTCTACAGTGTCCCTAAGGACGGAACTATAGCACCGTCTAAAGCGTCATTCCCAACCAAGCGCGATGCTCTTGACAAGATCACAATGGGGGCCGCCGAATTCCGCTGGCTTCCCTTTATCCAACGAAGGTTGCGTAACTAACTTCTCCACTCCAATCACTCATCGACAAGACTGATCTGCAAAATCAAGCCTTTTCACTCCCCGTACGGCTCATCCGGACCGCAAGAGAGGCGTCCACTAAGAGCTCAAGTTCTCTTTCACCAACCTCCTTCGCATACGTTTCGCATGGAGGTCCGTCCAAGAATACCTAGGTCTTTCCCATGACTCTAAATTTCCTTCGCCAGGCATCCCCGATTGACTCTCCCCTTCTACAGACCCCACAACCAAGACAACGCGCAGAGTGCGCAGCGATACAGGATCTGCCTTTATGTATGTGATGGAGGTCTCGTAAAATGCATCGAACCCAGAAGCTCGGTGTTGGATTTTCGACGTGCAGAAGACGAAGATCGAGATCTGATTTCTGAGGCATATCAGGAGGATGCGCAGATGCCTGTTTGGAGGGGGTCATGGCAAGAGACGCATCCGTATGGATAGAGAAGTTATACCGGCGTAGACGTTGACGGATGTGGGTGCTGCAAGTACACTATCTGTAGTAGACAAGGCTGTAGAAGCACACAAAGACTGCGACTACTTTGGCCAAATCTTATCGAATCTACGGAAGTAGACTTTGCTCTTCGTGCAGACTTGCATTGGTCCAGTGGCCGTTAAAAGTTTTTCTTCTAAGCTTTGCCAGCACTTCCGGCATTTCATAGCTCCAATGACAAAGCATACCAGCAATGAAGCCAACCGCATCGTTCTTGAAGGCAACCAGCAGACTGATGGTCACGAGCATGGTCATCCATCTTCTCTTTCGCTCCGCCTGTCCGGGCTCTTTCTCCAAATCCCGAGCTGCAATGGTGTTCAGACTTTCTCCGACGCTAGCCAATTCCAGTCCAGCGGCAATCACCATTACTGTGATCAAGGCAGTAGGAAACTTCTTCAACCAGCCAACCAGAGTTTCACCAAAGAATAATCCAAGCAGGAGCTTGACAATACCAAGAATCATGATACTGGCTCCTGAACGAGCGCCAAACCGGTATTGCGCTGCCAGTCCCCCTGAGCCGTGGCAAACAGGCATGGCTCCAAACCAGCAGCCAAAGAGATTCATGAATGCTACACTGAGCCCTATCGATGTGGCTGAAGGTGTGGGTATTTCTGGAAGAAGGTCCGCCGACAGATGTACGACAGCAATGATGGAGTTCAGGGTGGTCAATGGGAGCTGTCCCAAGCCTGCCTCCAGCACGCCCACCTTCCACTCATCCTTATCTGGTACTTGAGTATAAGGGAGCCAAAGACGGAAAGCTGGACCGTGATTTCCTTTAGCATGGCCCAACTGGAAAGCGGCCAGAGCAAGGCCAAGCATCAGAACCAACAGAGCATAGGGCGTCCTTGGGGCAGCTGCTGACATCAACAGAGCGATGAAGGTAAACATGACCCAGATGTAGTTGTCTTCCCAAGATGGACCAGTCCATGACAACTCGTTCACAGCTTTAGCCCCAGCAGATATAATCAAAGATAACCCTGCTCCGACCTGGATACCCTTGACCACAGGAATAGGTACAACAGAAGTAAACCACCCAAGTAGGCCGGTTACACTGAAGAAGAGAATACAAGCTGCAACGAAGATTCCCGCGGCTTGTGTCTGGCCGGCTGTGAAGTTCTTCAATAAGGCAACAGCGGCGATGGCTTTCATCGGCTGCATAGGTAGTGGAATACCAAAGAAACATGCCGTCAAGATATTGAAGATGCCTGTAAGTACGAGCGTCGTAGGCAGTGATATTTGATGGGATAGAGTCAGTGCAATCACGATTGGCAAGAAAGTACCCAGATCGCCCAATGAACCTGATATCTCGGCAAGGGGTTGCTGTTGAAATACCTCGAGATTGTGACGCTGTATTGACTGGAATCTTGATAGGGTTGCCATTGCATGAGCTCTACAGATACAGCGATGGTTTCTAGTCAGTTTCGTTACAATTCCACAGCGAATAATGTGATCAAGATGTGCTCTGGCGGAAACGTAGCAACCATGTATTACTCCGTGCGGTGTTAGATTTCAAGGTCAGAGCTTGATTTTACCATTTGCATATTACGGATAGAATACTACGGCTACAGGCCTAATTTTTGTACTTCCCCCAGTTAAATTATCTTACAAACGACTTTTTTACATACACGCCCCTATCACCATCCCTGTTGCTATTTTGCACGAATTTTGTTCATCCTGCAAAATCTGCTTGATCTACGCATTCAGTCATTTCTATATAGATACTAATAAACCTATTGATAGGACGAGCTACGAGCGGCTGTTAATGCTGTATATGATGCTGTGTCTTCTGACTATCTTAGGAAGCTGCTTCAGTCAATGCAGGCGAGATGGCAAGCAATTATAGATGTCAATGGAAAGTAAAAACTTGATTTTAGAGCCGAGTCCTATTTAGGCCATTTTGTGGGTGTCTATGCTTAATTCTACATAGTACGTTTTGTACGGATACTAGCATTTCAGCAGGGGAGGGCACAAAAATTAGGCCTATAGCCGTAGTAGATTCCATCATCCACTTCCTCGGGGTATGAGCTGCTCGTCGCTTCTGTTACGTTGATTCACTACCGACCTCATCGTCAGCAACGTTCTGGAAACTCCTGTTCAAAACGATCTACAGCGTAAGTATCTATGTCAACAATAGCTAGGCTTCTCAATATCCATACGTCTTGTTTGACCTGCTTGCATTGATCTTACCTTCGCTGCAATTCTGGCCGTTGCCACCAAGCAAAATTCCAGTAGTAGCTTTTCGTGAATGCTATGGAGCTAAGGAACGAGGGTGGGAAATGGTTGCTGCCAGCAGCTATTGATCATATCGCAACCCAAGAACCCCATCGTGCTTGGATTTTCCATACCGCGAGATGAGAATGACTTGAGCAAAGGCTACGTCGATATCGCCTACAAGCAATTTGCAAATCAGTCATCTGTGCAGCTTACTGGCTGGAATCGTCCCTTGGTCCGAGTAATGGTGAGTTTGATACATTCGCCTATCAAGGCCTAAACGACGCGAGAGTGCCTATAATAGCTGTGGCGGCGGCAGAAGTAGGGCGAAAGGTAATACAGTCCTGGGTCTCCACCCTCAAGTTTTGACTCCTGTGTCTACAAAGATGATCTGATGCGTCCCGCAGATAATTCTTCCTTCACCACTCACACCTGCTCAGGCCACGCTCCATTTGCTGGATGCAACAGTGTGTCAAACGTTTCTTTACGACAAGCTGATTCAGGCGCGTGTTGAAGGCCTCCTCCGGGAACGACCTCACATAGGCAGCATTGAAGCGCCGGCCTTGCAGCATCGGCTAACTCAAGAAGATGCAAAGTTATACAAATCTAGTAAGATCTGGGATCAGGCCAAGGAGGACCCGTGGATCATATTTTACACTTCTGGAACGACTGGGATCTGCCGGTTTGGAACTATCAGCGTGCTCCTGAAAAGCTGATGATGATATCAGGGCCCCCTACTCCGGTGGTCTATAACAATCAGATGATGACATCGCCAGATGTATCCCAGGTGCTCCCAGAGGAAATGAAAGGACCCAGCTGAGCTGCCATATCAACAAACGTGTATATGGACCAATTCCCATGACACATGTCAGTTTAGCGAAACTTCCTACAACAGCTTTTTGGGCGTAGGCTTACTCGAAAAGCAATTTGTCGGAATGACGGCCGTCCTGCAGACCGCAGTCTGGCTGGGAACAAGGCTTGTCCTTGGCCCTGCATGGAAACCTCCCACTGCGGCGATTGCCAATGAGGTGCTACGGTATGGCAATGTTTTTGATATTTCAGGCCCGCCGCTCATCATCAAAGACCTCTGTCAGCAGCAGGAGTATTTGCAACGCCTTCTAACTTTGGACTTTGTGCAGTGGGCGGGTGCGCCATTAGACAACGTGACAGGGACAAGCTTTGCTGACATGTGAAGCTTAGTCCAGCCTTTGCTACTACAGAATGCGGACCATACTCTGTTCGCCTATGCAACGATCCAGCCGACTGGCCATATTATTGGTTCTAGGAAGGCTAAGGCATCGAATTCCTAGCCAGGTCGGACAATCTCTTCGAGCTCGCTTTTCGGGAAAGCAAGGATGCACTGGGGCAGCAGATCTTCCTTTTGATGCCTGAAGTGGAGGTCTATCTACTTAATGATATCTTCCATACCTACCTTAATCTCACTCATAGTCCTACATTGGGAAAATCTAGTCCAGTGTTTCAGCTTTCCCAAAGCTCCAGGCCTTTTCACCTTCGCAGGCTTTCTCACATTCTTCAAGAATTCCCCAGACAAAACAAGCCCTCCCCTCTCTGACTTCCGGTTCATCCTTGCCTCCATCCACATCCTTTTCTCTTTCCACCTCTGTATCTGATTTCTCATCCACTGCTCTAATGTCTCCGCGCATGGTCCTACCTGTACAAACGGCAGCAAATGCCCACCGCAGTTTAGCACCTCTTGTTGGACCTTCTTCGTTGCGGCTCCTCCGCTGCCGCCCCTTTCTGTCCCAGTGAGCTTGAGCTTCTCTCCCCACAATGGTGCCACATTGATATGGCTGCGGGGGAGCCGTAGACCCACGGCACGGCGGGCCGTAGGGAAAGAAGAAAAGGAAGGGCCTGCACAGACTCGGGGCGGACAAACATGTAGGCACCTTCCACGAGCGGGTCTTGGTTTGGGGACAACAAAAACTCCTCAGCACGACACGAACTGACTACCTCAAAATGAACTGATTGGCTCAAAACTGGGCGGGCGTAGGACCATGCTTCTTGATGCTTGGTAGATGGGAGGGTGACCGAGCCCGAGCGTTCCGGTGAGGATCTCCGTACGTTCGTCGCTTGGGGATTGACAACCACAGGGTCCTCCTTAGTCTGCTGTGCTCGGCTCGGGTACAAAGCGGTAGGCGTGTTGCGGAGACCGAACTGAAGGTAACGGACCTATACACGGGAATCCAGTGCTTTGAAGAACGGGTTCTTCTTCATCGAGGCTGCCGCTGTAGCTCGTGAGGGCTAGACATCGGGGCGAAAGCTGCTCAGCATAGCGACGTTGGGATTAATTGGAGGGCGACCCTGGATGACACGCTCAACAAGCGCGAGAGCATAGAACATGTGGGGATGGATATGGGACAGGTAAACACTTGGGAGATTAGCATCAGGTTCTAGGTGTCCGTTTGAGGGCGCAAACAGTTATACTGCTCCCATACTATGTCCTATCCCAATTATCGGCTGGGTCATGTGGTCATGGAAATGATTGACCATCTGGTGGAAATCTCTGGAATGGTCGAACCACGAGCAAGGAGAGCATCAGTCTGATAGTGTATCACCTACGATCGTCTACCTGCAGAATCTCATTCTTCACTCCACTGGCGCCTTGGTTCGAGCAATCGGCAACCCAAATTGCTCTGATTTTGAGAGAGGTGCACCGCTGTACAAGTTCTTCCTATAAGAGCTCATAGGTTTCCTGGGTCAGCGAATGGATATGTTAGCAAGGCTAGCCAGGCAGGTAAAATTAACATTCGTCTACCTGTAGTAAACCGACCGGAGCTATAGACCAAGGCGAGGGCGTCGAGCAGTGTGGGTGAGAGTTGAGTATATGGTCTTGAAAATAGAAATGAGATGGGAGTACTGCGGCTTACCTTTTAAAGAGCCCAATAGCGTGGGTGGCAGCGATAGTGACAGAGTCTGACCCTGGGTCCAGATTATTACAAGGCCTGTACTCTTTGATATCAAGCTTCAGGACACCATGTATATCTTTGACAGAGTTAGGGTACTCTCGAATATGCTGACACGGAATAGTGTGCTCGGCGGGACGGAAAAGCTAGAAGAAGGCATCCCGTGGACTGAATTCAAAGATCTGACAAATTTCCAGTGGCTGTGAAATCAGTGATAGAATTGAACTAGATAGAACGGGTTGAAGAGAAGTTTTGAGCCGCGGACGAGTCTGCCACATAGGATGACACTTGGTGGTCGTTGCGATGTAAGCGAGGTTTCAGTCTGGCCCTCTTGATTGTCTCTAGACCTTTGTGTTCTCAAAGGACCGACGTCGACATAAGTTACCAGCAGCTAACATTTCTACGCAACGGGTATCTCAAATTCGTTTCCAACAGTGTTGTTCTTGAGTCTCTCCTTGGAGCTTGATTGCGTCTTGTTTCGGTACATCTTTTGAAGCTGGTCCTCATGGGCGGAGAAAAGGGAAATGTGAGACTTGTTGCTTGTGAGGGGAACCTTGGACGCAATAGAGCGAAAGATGGTAGTTAATCCATGGCCTTCTTCGAACAAAGGGCCATATGTGGGAAGGCAAGCTGCAATGATCGAGGCACATGGCTCGATAACTGACCAGAGGACACAGTTGAAAGTGATAGCTATTAGACTTTAGCTTAGTGAACCAAGTCGTCACCAAAAAAAAACTTACTGGAAAAATGGCGATCAGCCTGTCTCATTTTGATAAGCTGTATATAATACCCCAGACGGACAGCGGAAGCAACAATGCAGCTGTAAAGCTGATAGTAAGTGATATGTTCTGAACCTTGTGGCGGCGATGCTCACAAAAAGCCTAGCGAGAAGATCCCGGCCAACGTGAACTTTTTCTTGACACCGATTTGAAGTGTCCTAATGACAAAAAGAGGCATACAGAGCGTCATAATGTCCAGGACCATGTCCAAAGTACCATTGACAAGAAGCCAAGCGGGATAATTGATCCTAGCCTGAACTATCGTCTCCAAGGAGGACGAGAATATTGCTCCCTTGGACAGCAGTGAGCAATGCTCAGATAGGTTGACATGCATAAGAGGTTGACTCACAAAGAATAACGAGGTAAACCACGCTATATTGACACCGATCAGGACATTATTGGCAATTTGGAAAGGTTTCAACGTGAAAATCCGCCGATAGAAGACAAGGAGGCTTATCCGGACCAAAGTGATCGAGGCAGCCCAGAGAAGTAGGCCAAAGAAGATAATCTGCATTTCCATCAGGAACATTCCAACAATTTGGGAGGACAGTAAAGGTCATGCTACTTTGATATAGGCGCGTCCCGCCCGTCCTTGCAAGTCTTGAATATGCCATCCCACTCCACCGTCCGCAGCCCCATAAACCATCAAACCGCATAGCACATACACGACTACCTGGATTATCGGTCAGGTAAAAATGCTCAACAACCAAGCTCACTCCTCACCAGGCCAGAAAAGATGATGTATTCGTCGGCATGGACGTTATTGCCTTTGAGTTTTTGGGAATACACCCGAAGACACACTGCAAGCAATGCAAATATGGGGAAGACGGTGCAAACGACAACAGTTGTGGTAGCCTGATTGGACTTCATGTTGACTGAGTGCGGAAAGCAAAACATGGATCCAGCAGCTCGCTACTTACATAGTACAAGTCGTACGGCCGGCAGCCTAAACGGACACAGCGTTCGGCGTTCTACGAGGATCAGGAGACTAAAGGCCCTTGAAGACGGTCTTATTTGTCCGAGGTGATTTGGATGTATTTGAGTCATTCCTTTGTTGGTAGGTCTAGACCTCGTTTAATAGGCGGGAAGAGTTGAAAGAGGGTTGCATCGCGTTTGCAAAGTGCAGCTCTTTTTACTCCACACTATTTCGTCATCAGGCCTGCAGCCGGTGTGGCGCATGAGATTTGGCGTCGAATGGGACGTTCTGAATGGGGTTTAATGGTCAATAGAAGGTTTGGTATGACGTGCGGTAGTTGGGGGTACGGCTCGCTGAGATTTTTTTGAAAAATTTCGATACTTTATTAAATAGACTGAATACATTAAGTATAAATAGCAAGTTATTTTATCTAAATCAGTACGAAGAAAGCGTATATACCTATAGATACTAATGTAATCAAAGGAAGCAACGTGCGGTTTAGTGGTGAAATGAGACCTCAGAACAACAGTGGCGTGGAAGTCTGCTTGATTGTCTATGGTCGCGTATCGCTACTTGGCTGCACCAACTACTAGTAGTACTACACTTGTCTACTTACCCGACTACCGATAACTTGTCGGTAGTCAGGAGGGCTGCTATCTCCGAGTGAGCCTAACACGGATATTGAAAATATAATCGGGTTTCGGGCTAAAACACGTAACAAATCTATAACAAAACGCACGCAAAACCTGTAGCAAAATAGGCCAAACGGCCCCACACAGTCCAACATCTCTCTATCCTAGAAGAGTTTGCCTAATCTGCTGTAGTAACATAACAAGTGGTTGAAAATTGAGGCGAAAATGAAAGCTGAAGCGATCAAATGCGGCTCAAATACTTTGTTTGACGCCAAGTACGCTAGTAGGTACGGAGGGGATCCGATATATTCGTCAATATTCATTCTCGGATATATTTCCCGGTTGCTTCTTTTCTTTTCTCACATTTTCCTTCTAAAGTCTCTCTGAACACCAACCAGTTCGCACCAGACTTTCTAATAGTACACGACTCTCACGAAAAAGCCATACCTACTTCTCAGCCATGTCTAGTAGTCGATTCGGATCTGGTGCTGGAGGCTCACGGCGCAGCGGCTCACCTCCAACACAAAGGCATACTCCTATGACTAGGGAGGGCGCAGCTGAGACCGCACCTGGACGTGGCGCAGCTGTGAAAGACCCAGTCAGTGGAAATCAAGCACCTGTATTATCTATTCCTTCAGATTCTAGGGGTGCTTCAGCCGGAACGGCTGCTACAACTCATTCACATCCTTCCTCAGCTACGAAGATAGACCAACCTACTGCAGATCAGCTTCTGATCGATGCAGCAGTCAATGACAGAGCCTCCGCAGAAGATAGAAAGTTGTACGCATACAAATTCACACAAGATACGCTATTTCGAGCCCAGGTCCTTGAGGCGTACAGGAGATATCGCTCAGCAAAGGCAGCAGCCGAAAGAAGGAAGGCAGACCTGTTGGCAGGAATAATACTTGTTTTCGCACCAGAGCTAGCGAGTTTGTTTGTTTACGAGCCTCACCAAAATCCATCAGCAGATGAACTCGTTTTGCGTTTGCGGGCAACGAGCCTCGCACATCAAGTAGCCGGGGAAGCTCTCACTGAGTTAGAGAATATAGGATACTCCCACAGCAGTACAGCCCAACCGGCTCGGAGTGCTCCGCCTGCGAATATCTCCCCTCGGGCTACCCTAGCATCTCCAGTAACACCTCTTGGAAGCACTCCCCGGGCTCCAAGACCATCTGCAAGACGTGAGGCTAAGGGTCCAAGAAGAACTACCGGCGACTCCTGAGAAGGTGCGCAAAGCCTCTCAATAGGCATGTGTGGGTAAGAAATGTATTAGTATAAGAACACGCGTCCAGGATTTATCATTGTATACAAACTTATAGACCCTACTTTTCACAAAGATTTATCAAATGAATATTCTGTCTTAGTCCTTCCACTAATAGCATCCGTTTCTTCCAAAGAGCTTTTAACGATAGACCTTCCCAAGGACGAGTTTTCGACATTCATGAGTCTGGTTTCTCATACATCCAAAGTTATGCCATCAAAGAATACAGAATCCAGTTTAAACTGAAACATACACAGGCACTCCCACAGCAATTTTCGCTTCACTGCATCATGGTGCAGGCTGTGCATAGAAATCCAGTCTAACATGACTCAGTGATTTTATCACTTGAGAACAGAGTCACATTCAAGGCGAAGAGTCGGTGTGACACCCTGTCACCAGAAAGCTTGGGAGGATCGAGAGTCTCTGAGACAAGAGACTAAGCCCGGCGAGATCAAATTGTTAATTTCGTTTTGCGAGTGTCTCGACTCGGTATGTGTTTCAAAGTAGGAGGGGACTCGATTGGGCTATTACAGGGCTACATGTTTTCATGCAAAAGATTCCTATTACACAACATGCTAACGTCCGAACACTTTAAGCTTGACGCTTGATTTTAGCTTGCTATAAAAACCTCGCTACAGTTGTCAGTCAACAGCTGTTTCCTAAGGTTGCACAAAAAAGCACCAAGGAGATTCTTGCACCGTAAAATTACTGCTCCGTCTGTTGGATCTTGCCATTTCGACCCACTCTATGCTACAAAACCGCTACTTCAGCCGATATCGCCCGAGAAACTACGTCTCCGTTTACTGGAACAGCGCGCGTTTCAATGAAAGATTCTGAGAAATTCGGTCGAATAGATTCTTGCTTGGAGCGAACATCTTGAGATCGCGAAAAGGCTGTTAAGATCACGTTGCTGCATCACACCTAGAGAAAAAGTATTCTCTTACATTTTTGCGAGGTCTCCTCAAGATGTCCAGAAGAGCCTAGAGCCCGAAAGGCGGCTGCCATGATCACGATCGAGGGCAAAAGATATTCTCGCAGAGCCAACTTGGGGGCCCTCTGAAAGCAGCATCTACGATCTCGATACTAGCAGAATAACACCACCGAGCAGCAGACCTCATTGGCTCTGCCGAAACAAACGATATGATCATAGGTCAGGTGAGAGACATCAGTGCTTTACTGTGCTTAATAATTCTCAATCACTTGCCCTTGTGATTGTTTTTCTTCTTCTCTACTGGCGCACGACAAGATTTTTGGACAGATCTTGCTTATTGATCAGGGAGACAAGTTTGCAATCTCTTGGAAAGGCCCCAAGTCCATTGCATAAGAAGCGCCGTGGAGGCCGTCGCGTTGTCAAATTCCATTCAAGGGTCAGACTGAGACCCGGTGTTCTCTTACAAGAGAGCTCAACATTATCAGTGTGCGGAAACAGCGGAACAAGACGGTACAAGGAGGTCCTGTTCCGTACCATTCCAACCAGCTGGACCTACCGTAGCGTTGGTGCCATGGTACAATGGTACAAGTACGTGTACAGTACGTCTCACTCGTAGTAGAAATAGAGAAATAATTACTGTTTGGGTTGTACGGAGCTTTCCCTGACTATCCCCACGGCGTTCTTTTCTTAGGAGCGTATGTCGTTTTAGACTACTCCGTATATATATTCTGCTTGGAAGCAGAAGAAGTTGCTCTTGTGCTTAACATCGCTGAACTGACTGATTCTCTCAATCAACGCATTGAAATGTATTCCTCCACTTACACAATGTCTCCTACCCTCCTTCGTCTATCTTTAAATCCTCTTGCTTCCTCTTCTGCTCCCGTCTACACCGTCGTTACTATTGTATATGGAGATTCCAGCGATGTCAGCATCTTCTTCCTCCACTCCGCGACTGGCAACGTACTTCCCGTCCACATCAGTGTTACTTTTCCGGGCATGATCACTGCGTGTTCTGCTCCTCCTTTCCTCCACGCATAGTGTATGATGTCGTTAACGAAATTTAAAGGCTCGTCGAACTATGCCTGATAAACCGTTTAGATACAGCAACGCGGCGGAAGCACTGGGAGGGTGTCATCGGAGTACAGTAGGCTTGAGAGAGAAGAGTTTCGAGTATTTCTGGGATAGTTATGAAAGTAGAGGTCATGGCATTTATGTGTAAACCCTCCTCACCCACCCCACTAACTTCGTCCGGCTCGAACAATCGGCTTCGTATATTCCCGTTGTCTCTGCTTTTTTCTCGGTGAAGTGCTGAAAAGGATACACATCTCTTCTCTTCTCTGCTGCTCCTGCCCTTTCTGTTTCTCCTTCCCTTCTTCGATCTTCACTTTTCGCACGTTTAAGAGTCCTTGCCTAATTCTTTACTCTCATTTGTTTCCTTAATTCTCTATGACAATTCAATCTCTTCTCTTTACTTCTTCTCGCGCGGTAAGAAGCGACGTGTACGAGAATTTCTCCCTGGGTTGTAGCTAAGGTAGTCTCAATTTAATTCAGTCGTAACATTCCATACATATATACTCAGTTACATGTCAAGCATTCGGAAATCAGCCTCCTCATGGATGGGTTTTCATTGCTCCCATCGTCTGAAAGGAACGCACAGTGGACGCGAAGGAACGACTCTCATGGAAGAAATGTTGGACCAGTTTTCCACGCCATGCGAGGTATAGTAGTCGACACTAGGACCACAGTGCGGCTGTTTGGTGATACTCAATGGGGTTTCCACGTCACCATTGACAGCCTCTATGTCGTCATCTTCAAAGAATGGGTTGTCCGAGTCTTTAACCCGTCTCTGCTGCGAGAATGTCAAAGAGTTCTCCAATTCGATCAGTCCTACATATTCGGTGTCACTTCCGCTGTCTTTGCTGGAGTCTGCCAAAAATTCCAGTTTTTTATCTCTTCTCGCTTGCTTTGATCGACTTCTCAAGCCGCTTGTCTGTTCGCCCTTTTCTGTTCCCTCCTCCTTGGCATTCTCTGCCTTCTCTTCTTGTTGTTCTTCTTCTCTCCACCGCGAGATCTTTTCGAGTCTCAAGTTCATTCTGGTCACCAAGTCGTGCGGAGTCTCGCCATCATTGTTGGGATGATTGAATGATGCTCCTGCAGCGACAAGCAAGTCTACGTAGGATGAGGGCCGTCGTTGATCCAGTGCCCAGTGTAATGCACTGTTGCCGTGAATGTCAGGCGCATCAATGTCAGGCGCCACGTTCAAAATGAGTCGTAGGATGTTGATGTCATCCTCTAAGACTGCTTCATGCAGTGCTGTTCCTCCTGACTCACTCTGAGTATTTGGACTTGCACCATACTCGACAAGCACTCGGACCAAGGTTTCATTACCGGCGCTGACCGCATCATGAAGTGGAGACCTATTGGAAACATCGCCAGTGTCTGTGGCAGCAAAAGCTTTTAGTAGTAACCTTGCAGCTGTAGCATTCTGTCGAAGCACCGCAAGATGCAATGGAGTCCGTCCGGAAGCGTCCTGGGGGTCAGGACTAACCCCTCTTGCCAGGAGCGATTGTAGGATGCGGGCAGAGTTGGACATGACGGCGTGATGCAAGACGTGATCTCTATCACTCTGCTCGGCTTCCACATAAGCGCCAAACACCAGAAGCCTTCTGACACATTGATTACATTCAGCTTTAACTGCCATCGTGAGCGGAGTGTCTAGATTTGAGGCGTTTACGTTCGGCGCCGCCGACGCCACCCGGAGGAGAAAGTCGAGGATCTTATGTTGGTGACTCTCCACAGAGATCCACAGCGCAGTCTTTTTCTTACTGTCACACGCCTCCACATTCGCTCCGCTCTTTTGAAGTAGTTGTACCATTTCTAAATTCCTATTCTTAGTCGCATGAATCAGCAGCGGACGCCCTTTGTTGTCCTTCCAATCGACATTGGCGCCGTGCGCGAGGAGCAAAGAAGCAATGCTAAGCCGATCAAGTTTGACTGCAACGTACAACGCTGGGATCCCATAATACCTATATGAATCACCCTGTTCTTCGAATATTTGATTCACATCATTTCCCAACGAGAAGAGCAGCTCTGCCAGGGTCTCGTCGTTGGCCAGAGCAACATAACAAAAAGGTGGGAAGTGTAAGCCGTTAAACAATATGCTGAAACTACCATCTGAACAAGGTTGCATCATTTCTAGATAATTTCCGGCCTTCAGTTGTGCAATTGTTGCGAATTTTTCCTGGTCATGTCTTTTGGCCTCGGTCAGCATATATTCAAGGCAGGTCTCATCTTCTGTGTCTATGCACAGAAGGACCATGAGGAATTCAGCTGCAGTGAGTTTCATACACCAAGAGGACAGGATCCGAAAAATCTCGTCAGAATAGTTCTCATAAGCAGCACATAATGTCTCGGCCACTATCTCCGGTGGTATTTCGACGCTCTTATCGATCATGCAGCGTACCGTCCGGATGTCTTTCATCCTAACCGCAAGTTGCAACGATGACTCTCCGTTCTGTATTGGCAAGTGTCCTTTAACTTGACGCTGTAAAAAAATATTTATGAGTTGCTCATCCTGGTTCAGGACGGCTGCATAGAGCGCTGCTTCAGTATCACCGTGGCTCATCACGCCGTTCTCGAGAAGCCATTGCACTGCTCCGTAGTTACACCATTTTGCGGCCAGGTAGATACCCGACTCTTCCCGTTTGTTTCGGGCTGTCCATTGGGAGAAACCAGACGCAGCTAGCTGATGAAGAATCCAAGGCAAGTCAAAGCAGCATGCAATGAATAAAGGCGCAGAAGATGAATCTCCCATCGAGCCGAGTTTCTGGAGCAGATCGTAGTCGCAATCAATCGAACCTGGGTACTCCGAGAAGCGCTGGGTATCTTCCACCCAATCTGTGAAGGCGGTGCTTGGCTGATCATCCTCGAAGATGAATTTCAACACTTGATGTCTTTGAAAACTCTCGTTGGGACCTGGACCAGTTGATAATTGGCAATGAATTGGCCAATAGACCATCGCATACGATTTTAGAATGAAGCCGTTTTCGTTGTACGGTTGAGATTCCAACTCCGGACTCGGGCTTGTATAAGCCTCCAGGCACCTCTCGAGGACAAGTGCGTGTGACGAAGTCGCGGAGAATATCTTATGACACTCGAGGCATTCTCTGACGGACAAATGGGCGAATCTGAAAACACCGAGGTTATCAACCACAACAAGGTTAGAGCACATATCCAGTACCTTGTCCACTGACAGGTCCTTATAAGCAAACGAAGACTTCATGGCAGCCTTGAGTTCGCTAAATTTCATTAGCTTCTGAGCACATAGGAGCCATTTGAACAATTGCTCAGCCAAGACACGGCTAGGGTCAGCAAGGCTCAGAATTCGACCAACTAAGGGATCGTATGACTCTTTCAGTGTCCTTGGAAGCCGGCCAACTTCATGTTGCACATCGTCTTCTATCTTGATCCGCTGGCTATCGCAGAGATTTTCGATCTGAAGGGTAACCCATCGGAACATGCCTCCAGCCCCGGCATTAAGGACGGCAATGACGTGGGTCTTCAGCCGTTCCGACATCCGGCCATTCAGCAGTCGCTTCGTCTCCAGAGCGCGCTCAAGTGAGTATTCAACGAAGCGCCCTATATCATCTCTGTTATTTTCCGCTCGAATGCACACGTTCGCGGAGTTTGCCAAATGCGACGAAATATCGCCATCATCTCTGCTTGCAATAATAACTTTCACGAGACTAGCCGATTGCTTCAGAATTATATTCAGTGCAGAAAACAGTTCGTGTCTGGAGACAGGGTTACATTCGTCAAAGGCGTCGATAATGATTGTAGCCGGACTTTGATCTAAAATCTCGAGGATAACTGGAACGCATTCTAAAGCACTTAGTTGAAGAACGCAGGAAGCATCAGCATCCACTGCTTCGGCTCTCTTCTCATATGCTTGGACCAAAGGGTATCTGATCGGGTAATCGGGCCCCAACGAAGCAAGTTGCTTGAGCAAACTTCTCATGACCTCACATGGTTCGGTCCGTTTTGGTTCTGCTGGGTTTCTTTTGCAGTAGAAGTAGGCTACTGGTGCAGGGTTTGTAACATTGCTGTTCTCCTCCAGCAAGCGCCGAATCACATAGTAGATCATTTTGGTCTTGCCACATCCAGGAATTCCATGGATCCAGAGAACTGAAGACTCGCTCGATTTCCTCCATTGGACGTAACCCGGGTGGCGATCAATCCATGAGCAGGACGCCGGCATAAAATTCTCACCCTCAATGGTGTGGTGCAAGTTGGTTGGTACAACAGATAGCCATGTCAATATTTTTGCTCGCTCGTTCCTCTTTAGATGGTCATGGATTTCAGAAAGCTGAATCGCAGATCGCCTGATTGGCTGCTCTAGCCCAAGGAGCAATTCTTCAAGACGTCGTGATCTGATATGTAGCTTCTGCATGCCCTTTGCATCGAGGACACGTATGCACGAGTCAACACTTGCTGCCTTTTTAGAGATAATGCTGAGGTATGTATGGACACTCGCTTCTGCTGAACAGACTGTCGATTTGACCATGCGCTTGGCCGTGTTTTCACTGAAGTACTTCTTGGCTTTGCTGAGGTATCTGAGAATTGACATATAGAGCTTGACTAAAGCAGTGCTGAGCTGATCGTGCATTGTGAAAGCCTTGCCTTCTCCTAGATAAATTTTCTCCAGAATGGCGTAACGGGCGGTCGTGTTGGACACCAACTCTACCCCCTCCACCATCGCGCCAAAGATCTGGCCGTCATTGATTGCAATCTGGAGGAGGAAAAGTACGCCGGCCCATGGGAGAGCAGTGTGTACAGGATCATATTGAACCGCAACGGTCCCTACCTCCTTAAACTTCTCGATCCATGTGGTGACCTTCTCCAATTTGTCACGGATTATGACCTCCTTGTCGCCTCTCCGGTACTTCCAACGTTTCTCTAGACAGAGCCGCCTCCTCTCGTTGGTGATAGCGAGAATTTCTTGAAGAATTCCAAGCTTGTTGGCGCTATTAACATGAAAGGCCTGCCTGTCTTCTGCAGGGATTGAATTGAAGGCTTCATGCCATAAGTCGTCTGGTGAGGCACTCTGTGAAACAGGCTTGGCCCGCGTTAAGGCCGGCTGGCGAATAGACATGCGTAGCGGAGAATACGTGGTTACTACAGACCTAAGTTAGAGTGGGTCCAACAAACTCTGTCCTGTTCCATAAATGATTCATGACAACTGATTATGAGATCTTGTCGAAGACCACGAACATTTTACGTGTAGAGGCGATAAGACAAACGCAAAGGCGTCGAACAAGAGTCACTCGAGGAATGGATGCATCAGGGGTCCTTATACAAAATGTCCTGCGCCTGAAAGCCTGGGAGCCATACTTCTGGTCCCATTGAATCCGTCAAGAGTGGCTGAGTAATTTTGCCCTCTCATACTAGTGCGCTCAGGGAGTGGCTTGGTTCGAGGCGAAGGCCTATCTGATAGATTTGCTGCAATCTTGGCATTTTTCATTGACAGAAATGAGGGGACTCTTTGGTCACTAGTCTGGGTGCAAGATCTGTCAGTAGTTTTGTCGCCAAGCTGGCAATTTATTCATCAGATAACTAATGCCTCAGGGCCAGACGGGGCGTGGGAGAGCCTTGTGATCCGTGCCACGTAACGCTCTACATTAGAGTGCGGCGGACCATTACTAATTTGACCTTCCTGCCAAGCTAAGGCTGTAAAGCCCGATCTTGAACTTCACTAACGTGTGTCCCTCAACTCAGAAAAGGGACACATCAACCACTCCGCCAAAAGGACAGCACTAATAGGTGTTGAATCACACTTAATTGATGTACCGCTCACTACTACAGAGGGGCCCTGAAGTAATATTAGCTCAGCATTAATTACACTCTATAATTACCAAGATAAAAGAAGAGTTAATCTTTATCTATATTATAAAAACACTACTAAGATCTAATTACATTTAAACACTTCTTATGATTTAACATCATAATATTCTACCTCAAAATTTTAACAGCAAGATCACAAGAGAGTCTATTTTACTATCCGGGCGGTTTTGGGCATTCTACTAAGATAATTAGGTGGTAAATGGCTATCCTTTACCCTCATCGCAATTCTGCCCCACGGCCCCAGCAATTCGAGGATAACGCCAAGGAATTGCAATACTTTCGCAACGCACAGCAATTTTAATCACCACAATTTCACTAATTAGCAAGAGAGAGTAAATAGATGTCTTCATTTCCCTAGACTTATTCTACTTCCACGATATGTTAAACAATCGTGTTAAGGAGAGTATTCAACATTCTCAAACCATTCTCCACCACATTCCTTCAAACCCAGCTCAGCCTCCAAGCACGGATAGAAAAGGCGTCTTTGAAGAATGCACCATTTCCTTAAACCCTTGCTTCTCACTTTGTAGTCCACCGCAGAACTAAAATTTGATGTCGACGACGTCTTTAATGTCAACGTCCACGGCGATGTTGGTGAGAACATTGACGCAGTTGATGATAGCCTTGTACAGTGCAACGTCAGAGTCCTGCTCCTCGGCAGAGAAGAATGAGGGTAGAACGTACAATGACCGCGGTAGTGCTGCAGCGGTAGGAGTCCCCGACCGGGCAAGTCGGTCCGATTTTGTAGTATTTGCCGCTCTTCTTGCAGCCATTTGGGGGCGGGCACTGCAGAGGAGATTTATTAGTCCATAAGTCACCACAATCGCGGAAAACACAACACTGGTGAAGAGTGGATTGTGAAGTACTTACTGTGGATCGGGTCACGAGCCCGTCGGCTGGAGCTGCCTCTGGGGCCGGAGCGGCGAGTGCGAGAGCAGCGAAGGAGAGGACGGTAGCGATCTTGGAGAAATGCATTTTGATTTGTTTGGAGGTTGAAGTTTTTGGGTTTTGGTTTCTTGAAGAGAAGGTTTGGGAGATTTGATTGAGAAGTGGCTGTTTGGCTTCGTTGTTTGAGCTGGATGATTGTCCGGATGATGGGGAGATGAATTTGAAGGGAGTTCAGGTCCTCTTTATAGGTTTTCGGGTCTCCAGCAGATGGACGTAATTCTTGACATTTCGACCTCGAAACGAGCTGCCTCGTCTTGATGCGGAGTCTGAAAAGTATGCAGGGTATACGGAGTGGCGGTATGGCACTTGGTCAAGTGCCAGGTCGGGAGTTTGGGCCTGCATAAGAGGCTTGACCTGCGCCGTGCGCTGGGAACATGGCTTGCGTGTCAAAGCAGGATGATGGCGCTCTGCCGGTAGCACTAGTCCTCGTCCATGTCAGTATCGATGGCGTTGTAGTGGTGACATAGAAGTAGGAACGGCAGGGAGGAGATCGCCGATGAATGTCTATCTACTATCTCATTTACCTCTATCACCCATCCATATGTTACAGAGTATTCCATACACCAGCATATCCATCTGACCACCATCACCTACGTAGACGATGAGAAGATGCGTATATGGCGTAAAAGGAGTAGACACCTTACAAGAGTGTACCATTCAGAGCCTCCCCCGTTTTGGCTCCACAACATATTGCAACAGAGTCATTGGCCCCATGCAACTGTCTTTGGGTACCTATGGTTTGTAACTAAGAGCTTGTGCACAACTGACCATGAACCCACCACAAATGCTTCAACGTGACTTTCCTTTCTGTTCTTAACCTTACATAATAGGAATTGTTTTAACCGCGCCCAATAATCGTCTTCAATGATGTCAGGCCATCCGAGGATCTAGATCACCCGATGGTTCTCCTGCCCAATAGCACACCAAGTAAGGATGAATGGAGCTGGGTGAGGAATGGAGAAACAGAATTTTGTTTTAACTTTCCAGCCACAAGTGCAGAGAGTGATGCAGGTGGTGTTGTGGCTGCATATTTGCACCTTGCCCCATATGCGCAGACACTCCACTTCAGCATATGTGACCTTTGTCAGAGCCTGGTTGCTCCTGCTTTTTCTGGTGGACTAGGAGGGCGCTATGCAAACTGGATCTCTTGGCTGCGTTTAGGCAAGCCAAAGCTATGCTGGGTTCTGTTTTGCCTTGTTTACCACCTATCATCCACCGCATGAATCTTGTGTTCTTTCTGATTGATCGGCTATACCCGCTAGTTCGCGCATAACTGTCTTCTGTTTTGCCTCGTTTACTAACCACCCTTGTCATCCACCGCATGGATCTTGTCTTCTTTCTGATTGACCGGCTATACCCGCTAGCGCATAACTGTCTCCTGTTTTGCCCTTGTAGAACACTGAAAAGGCCCGAAATTGTCTCCATCTGTCAAGCAAATCAAGCCATGGCTTGTAAATAGTGCTTATGAAGAGCAAGTTGGCTCTGTTGCTGTTTGATCTATCTCCAAAATGTCTAAATACGCAGATAAAGACAGTCGAAATCGATCGATTGCGTGGCCCACAAGCCGATCAACAAGCAGAAACAAGCGAACAAAAACAGGCCCCCAGCAGCTCACCTCCACCAAACAGCACCCACAGTGCTTGACACCAGCAGACAAGATACTCTTACGGCTAATGTAGCATCTTGTTCTGTCACATTTATAGGCTGTGATGTCATGACAGGCTGCATCTTTAGAGCCAATCTGACATATTCCCGCAGTCCTTTTTGTAGGGTGGTGCCGTTAAATGCCAAAGCTGTCCAGATGCATTCAAATCAGACTAAGGCCCTTAGAACATGTACCGCAACCAATCAGAATACAGAGACCCAATGCCGGGAGGGCGGTAGATGTACGTAGTAGTATCATAAGGTGGAACGACTATGTCATTTGGCTGTAACGCGTGTCATTCCGATCTAGTTCTATTGCACGATGCTTCATCTTCTGAGGGTTATGGAACAATTCTGCTTAATCAGTCCATGCAACCTCCGGGTACTGTTCGAAACTTCAAGGCTTACAAGACACTTGACCGCCTTGATAAAAGACGCCACAGCAAGTGGTAAGTATGCCGTTCCTCTTCCCTTGCGTTGATTGTCTCAGTTTCTGTTGGTCGCCCTAGATAGCCCTCGGTTGCTTAGACGCCATAATCAGAACTTGAACCTCCTTGAAAAACAGATGCCCCATCCTGCAGGCCAACGTTCACAAGTGCGTAGGACTACGACAACCAGGAGCTAAGACACCCAAGTTACTACGGTACCAGGCAGAAGTACCCCTAGCACGGTGCTAGTACATGCCATTCCGAACACTACGGGTACAGATGGCCCTGTTGATTTTGTACGGCGCAATGAAACAAACAAACTAATCTTAATTGGGGCAATTTCTGGGCACTCTATACTCACTGCGACAAGGTGACAGACAATATGTGGCGTAGTTGTAACCTTACTACGTACATGGCGTTCTTAGCACCGTGCTAGGAATGCTTCTGCCCCCTACTGTAGTAGTGGCTGACGGGAGTGTAGATCATTGCTTTTTCTAGTAGATCCGCCCCGTCGTGGCATGGTCCGCGGAACGGATAGACTTTAGAGTAACGCAGGAGTGCCGAAGGCTAGCAAGCACTTTAGCACACTACTTACCTGAGTTGGCATCTTGCTATGTACTACGGGGGAGGCCTGAAATTATATTACTTGATGCTAGTAGCGGCTAGTTGCTGTTCCCGGGTATAATTGCTGCGAATTGTGACCAGGAAGCTTGTTCTGTGTACTACGTACATCCATTCCAAGAGGTCATATTATTTATTACATCTAACTTTTTGGACGTAGCTGTTCGGTGCAGAATTGGCTTGCGAGTAAAGATACTAGCGCTGAACTAACATTATTCCAGGCCTCCCGTAGTAGCACATATTAATTAACCTCATACGTCTTGGGCCAAGATGTAGGAAGTGGAAGGCCGTACGTGTGCTCCTGCCACTGACTGTGACGGCCACACATTATCGGGAAGTAAAAGCCACAGCGCGGCGAGAGCAATAAATGAGTGCTGGTCCTAAAAATTTCAGCAGAGTTTAGCGTTCTTTGCGATCTTGATCCCACACAGTCCTCGCCTACATACTAAGTCTGTGAGTTCGGGCCAGCCTCGGTGAGATTCCAAGTTTTTCTCCCTGACCTTCCACAATACTCAGTGCCGACACGATCAGGTCTACTGTACATTGGCTATCACCAGAATCGATGACAGACCGGAGCCTACAAGGAGAGTCCACCCTTAGAGAAAAAGAGGAAGTGGGTGGGGGGCAGGTTCAGTCTCTTGTATTGTAAATGGACACGGTGAATATTTCAGCCCCTCTACTCATACTAAGCTAGACTGTACGACTTATACGCGTGCGGCTTTTAGAGTTCGCGGTACGCGAGCTATACCCTCCTGAGTGTGCTGTACACGTTTTGCCCCACAAAAAAGCACTGCAAAACAGCTCTAACGAAGGTGCACCAAGAATGCAAAAGCCCTAGCAAAGGCGGGCGCGATGCTTGTGATGTTGCGATCGCTGTTTGCACTTAACACAACAAGTTACGCTGGAATCATTTTAGTGGCGAATCAGCTATCTACACAGCCCTGTTCCAATGCCGCTCATACAGCTCAATATCCATTCAATGCGGGTTTGCTAAGAAGATGTTGAAAGCGCATGTACGTGCCAGAAGCTTCATTCAGGCTCTTCCGCATTCGTGAGTCTTGTTCTGAACTCGTCTTCAAGAAAAGCACCCCAACTCGTACGACGCCATGAGGATGGCTGAGATCCTGATGCGGCTGGCCCGTGTTTGTAGAAACGCTTGCACTCGGCGTAATCATTTCCATCCTTCGCAAAGTCCCTCATGCGCTCAACAGAGGGCACAAGCCCATTTGGATCTTTTTTGTTGTTGATAGCCCCAGCAGCGATGAGATCATAGATCATCTTAATATACGGGAAGATACGTGTCAGCCTGCTATGGTTGCTTGTGTTGGCAAGCATCCACACAAACTCGAGGGTGTTCAAAGGGCCCCTGGGCATTAACATCAGCGCCTTTTGCTAGGAGAAGTCGGAAGATTTCGGAATCAGAGTCGTCTGTGGTTCCAGCTTTCTCGTCGATATAACTGTGGAGGACTGTGCCAAACGGACCACACTGCTCGTTGATGTCTTCTCCTCGAGCGCTGAAGACATCAATTATTCCTTCAGCATCATCTATGTCTCGTTTGCCGATTGCCCAGAATGGTCTCAGTCGTGCAGAATTAATTGCCTTCCATGAACATAAATGCTCATTATTGATCCATTCGGATCTCTTAGGTTCGCTGAAGCTTAGTAAGAGCTTACCACGAGGACGGAGCAGTAACAGGACCTGAATTACTTCACAGGAAGCCTGCCGTATCGCCTCCAAGAGCTCATCGTCCGTAACGATAGGATAGTGTTGCAGCGCAAGCCGCAAGGTTGGTAATCTTGTTGTCGCCGCGTTATCAATAGCAAATCTGACTGCGTAACGGCGTACTATTTCTTTCTTCTTTGGTTGGCGCCAAAACAGGTTGCGGACTACAGATATATAATAGTTTACCAACGAGCTCCCTGGCTGTGAAACACCAATACCCGTATCTAGAGAATTTGATTCACTCGCCTCCTCGCCTTCTGCCTCAAGGTAATCTTCGACAAAACATGTTAAGGAGTGTCCGATCGCCAGTTGGATACCTGTTTGAACCTTGCGCTTCGACTCTGAACCTAGTGATTGGTAATGAAGCCTTTGGCAGGCACACACTCCATCAAACAGGCCGCAGTGCAAGAAGACATATGCTCGTGAGAATATAGTGCTTAACATTGCGAACGTTGAAGGCCCTGGCACAATTCGAACAGATGAGCATGTTCTGGAAGATAGTACACTGCATACGCCAGTAGCAGTCGTGTTTAGATTGACATCCAGGCTGGGATAGTCATTTGATTCGAGATTTGAGGACTTGATGCACTTTCGGAGACATCTGGCTCTTCTTCAAGGCGTCTCGATACAACCGCGGGATAACAGAAAGGTTTTTGAGCTTCCCCCCAACTTAGCCTTGCCCGTGCTCGCTGATATTCCACAGCACAAGAGTGCAACCATAGTCCGTCTTCGGAGTCAGGAATAAATGAGGATACTGAAAGCTCTGCCCAACCTCTTTTATCTAAGAACGTCTTCACAGTCCTATGTAGTAATCCCACGTTAGAAAGCCTATCAGCTGCTCCAAAGTCCTGCTTCTCATGATAAATCCCGACTAGCCCTCCCGTTGAGGCTAGAACCCGCCGCTTGAATGAGTCAAGCTCAGCACGGGAAAGAGCAATGTGTCCAACATCCTGGTACCGCCGTTGTAGGAACTCAGAACGCAAGCCCAACAAGGCTTGAAGCATCTCGATTGTCACAGTGTCGATTGCTTTCACAATAAACATCAAGACAACTCTCGCAAGAGCTCTGTCTTTGGGCGAGGCTTTCTGAATGATCCGCGAATATATATCCTCCAACTCAACCGGCATGTCGTGTATTCTTTCCATTCACTTATTCAGCAGCAACGGCGAATCTTCATGTACAAATATCACACAGCGAACAAGTTCATGGAATGCTCCATACAAATTTGGTGAGGGAATTCACGGCCTAATTGCGGAGTTGAAAATTTCAATTGGCCGTTTGGCTTCAACCGTCCGCCGTAGAATTATCGGCAACTCTAGGTGCGGAATGAGATTACCATTTCCTCATACCCAACCATCATCGCCATCAGCATCTCCATTCACCCAAACGGTGCCTTCAAAATCAGTCATTCTTGCGCCGCTAGTAGCATACATCTCCATGTGGACCGTATAATTCCCTTTTTTCAGCTACCAGTATGGAATGACCACGCTATAAGACATCTCGACTGGTCCTCTCTTGGGAGGACACACGCTCGCTCCATTCTGCGTAATCTCCAGCTTCCCATTAGAGCAAAGGTCGGCCTCGAAGCTGGGTCCGACAGTTCCATTCAGCAGCACGGTAATTTTGAGACTAGGTGTGAGACCGATGTCAGAGTTTATGCTTCCTCGGAGGCGTAAGGTCATGAGGTTGTTGTTGTGTAAAGTATCAGTACGCTATTCCAGAATCGATGATTGATACGCTGCGATATGTTATTGAGCGCAAGGACTTACTCAACTGGTGGGTTTGGCAGAAGATCTAGAGCGTCGATGGACAGTATGTCATTGCTCTGGTCATCCACGTAAAATGCAGGAGAGTCTCCTGGCACTGGTTGACGGCAGCTGGGAGAGTTCATCGAATCTGAAGCTCCCTCAGTCGACTGAAGCTGTGCTTGGCGGTTCCCGGGAAGCGATATGACAGTTGGGATTATAGTGGAGAGGAGCCAGAGGAGCTTCGACCGATGCATTTTGTACGTACGATGATAGAATACAAGGAAGGCGCGTAGGTTTTCCGGCCGGGCACTCGCAAAACACAGCTGGGCACTGCAAAGAAAGCACCAATGAGGTCCTTAAATTAGATCAGTTGAGGTCTTGAGAGTGCAACAGAATGGCAAAGCTATGGTAATCAATTAACTTTTCTTTTTTGCGAAAGCTGTCTTGTAGTAAGTGTTATGAATCGGCGCCAAGCCATCCAGTATCCGTTGAAGTACTACTAGTTACTTGTTGACCTTCTGAGAGGGCCTATTGGCCGCGTTTAATATGCGTAATCCCTGCGTTTCTACTGCTTCTAATTGGTCAATTTCCAACGCAATTTCGCTTCTAATTTCGCTGTACGGAGTACGGTACAGCCAATTGTACATAGATCTACGCTCTCTACCCCCGTAGCTATCAATCAACTTGCTTCTCTACGCACTCTGCACAGCAGGTTGACATTACTTCATGCAGCTGATAGCTTACGCGTTTCAAGCAACTTAGGTTGTTCACTACTGACCATACTCTAGATTGTACAAGCCATGTGGATGAGCAAGCTTGAGACGAATCCACGACCAATCAGAGAGCCGCATATATCTGGGAGGCTTGAGACCACTGCCAGTGGCCGAGAGACATGTTTCGGCCCGAAGGACTTCGTATTGTGTACTACTTAGGAATTAGGATTCAAGGCTACCGGGCCTGGAAGGTCTATGGCATGTCTTGTAGGGGAGCTTTTCCAGCGGTACAGCTTTCTACTTTCGAGACTGGAAGAGCAGGTTGTGGACTGCGCCTTCAAATGCTTCTGGCCGGTGCGACAATGGGCAGTATCATCAGCTATGATAGTAAGCGTCCTCTGGTATGTGCCGAAACCTACTGCTATAAGAAATTCTCTGAATTTTTCTAATTTATATCAGTTCTTTAAAATTCCTATGACTTTTAGACAGATCGAGCTGTACAGTACCGCTCCTCGACCTCTTATCGACTTTACCTGTATTCCTGTGTCTATTTGATTCAAAACCTTATACTGAAGTGCCCCGAAACTTTCTGGACCTCCGCGCCAGTAATAGCGACCCAACATACTTCTGCCTCTCAATACTTGAAAGATGATCAAGCTATGCGACCTACTGGCTCTCAAAGTGTAGCTAGTCTGTGCTCTACCACGGGCATCGCCGGCACCAGCTACAGGAACAGAAGACGCCACTCTCGTCGCATCAATATCATCTATCGTAAAGTCGGCCGGTCTTAAACCTTACGCAACGCCTTTGTCGACGGATGAGATCAAGGAGTGGAATGCTCTAGGCGACTCCTTCACCGCAGGCATTGGATCTAATGGTCTCGACGATTCTCTTAGGATTTCGCAGGACTGCAGCCGTTACGACAAAGCATATCCCATGCAAATGAACGCTGATACAAGATGGCCTGGCAAACCGGCGGACCGAAAGCTCAATTTCGGTGCTTGCTCAGGCAACGTGATGCAAGACATCCGAACTAAACAGGTCTATTCCCAAGTTCTCAAATAACCCTACATCTTGCCGAGCTAATGGCCGTCGTGCAGCTGTCCGATAACGCACCAGTAGACTACCAAAACTTTGGGAAGCCTCAGCTTGCCGTAATTACTTTGGGTGGGAATGATCTCGGTTTCGAAAGGTAAGTGCCATATGAAGCTCCAGCATGTCTGATTGCCCAGCAAATGGCTAATATTATGCAGCGCCATCAACGCCTGCATAATTCGAGCGCATGGGTGGCCGAACATTCCGGTATGCTCACAGTTTCCTACAACGCAATCATTTGGCTGATGGTTTAAGGGCCGTAACCGCGTTTTGATTGGCATCGAGAACAAAATCCAAGACCTGGGCTTCCTGGGCGCTTTTGATGAATTACTCCTTGCTATCGTGGTCAAAGGTCGTGTGAATGGAGGCGCTGACCCACCTGAGTCTTTTCAGCTTTTTGTCAATGGGTACGTTCCTTTCTGGAACGAAGTTGATAGGGGCTGCGATGGTGTATCCTGGGAGTGGTAGTGGCCGACAAGAGATCACCTCCTTACAACCCAACTTCGCAAAAGAATGAATGACATACTCAGAGACCTGAATTTCCAAATCAAGCAATCGGCTTTTCGATTGGCGAATGAAGGCGTTGTTTACGTTGAAGGATTCCAGGATTCATACATTGATCATCAGTTCTGCGACCCCAAAGCAGATACGAATCTGAAGAAGCCTATTTCACCCAAAACTTGGTTTTGGGCTAGCGATAGGTTCGTATTTAAAATCTCCAAGCCCCAAGGTTCTATCCCCAATTGACTCGTTATAACAGCCCGTGGAATGAGGGCGAAGGACCAACCTCAAGCAGCGATTTCGACCTTCCACAAGCGATCCTCAACGCACTAGTCCCTGACGCTGGCCACAGAGCTAGCATAACAGCGGCCCAAAAACCCCCCGTCAAACTTCAATGACGCATTTAAAAGCCGAGAAGCCTTCGAAGCCGCTCTGGACAGCCTGAAAACCAGTTCTGACCCATCTGTCGCTGCTATTCCGGAGCAGTGGCGTCGTATTTTCCATCCTAAGGGCACAGCATATAGGCACCACTCAGACGTGAATCTAAACACCGTCCTAGCCAACAGACAAGCGAAGCCAGCGGCCCCGCCTCCGCCGACCCCTCCTCCAGCACCCACTCCAACAGAGGAGGAAGAGAATAATATATGCGGCGTTTGGTATAGGATCATTCTGAATCATTTCGAGATCAGAGGGGAGAATTTCGACCCAGTTAAGTTCGGTAAGGATGGCTCCGGTTTGAAGAAGGAAATCAAGGGGTGCGGCGCTTTGACCAAATGGCGCTTTGAGTACACGCCCAAAGATCCGAATTTCGCGTGGTTTGCCTCTGGGCAGTTGCCAATTGGTACGAAGGCTTGCGTAGGAATGGCAGTGGTTTCCGCAGATGGGGAAGGGCCTGATGGGTGTACTGGTCCCGGTTGAATATGAATTCTTGCATATATCATTGGTCTTTCCCTTTTCTGCTAAGTTAACCACGTTGGAGAAGACGATTATCGACTTTTCCCGAATACAAGAGTCGTTATGTCACTTACCGGCGGCAAGCCTGGATGTGGAAAGTCAAGAAAGTCAAAGTGGTAGTATCGTGGGGGGCACCTGTGCATCTATTGTAAAGGGGTGAAGCTTAGCTTTACCACCTGAAATTCTTGTCCAAAACAGGGGCTCTTCGGTCTTGGGCCAAAATGAGAAATCTGAGGACCAGACCCATTCAAATGTTGCCTCGTTAGTCAGAACACTGGCGATCTGCTGCTGACGCTGGATTCTCGCACCAAAGTCAATTGTCTCGGAAAGTGCTGTGTCTGGTGTCAGCGCCTCGAACGGTACTCAACAACGCAATCAGCACTTTGCGGAGAGGCTACGGACTGCACACCTGTTAAGACACCTGTTTGGTGCTCCTGCTGTTGACGTGATGTGACTGGCTGAATACGATTGAGATACCCGGAGAGAGCAGCCCGAAAGGACACAAAATCCAGGGTCTTGAGCAGACTTTAACTTGCACATGTTTAAGTGATCAGCTATGATCATGGAAGTCTGCTCAATGTCTCTTCTATTGAGGAAGGCCGATGTATCGGGAACCACCTTGGAGCTGTTAGAAGTTACTGCTGGATTGGGCAAGCAACAACCTACCTTGCCATCGAATTTCTTCAAATTAGTCAATGGCTTTCCTTCCCGAAAGCTGTATATTTGTATCTTGCTATCCGTTGGCACATCTCTGTTACATCAGCTTCAGGCATACGTTAGCTTCATCAAGAATGAAGAACGGCGTTCTAATTCTCAGCGCGGCGAAAGATCAGAGGCAATTGATGAAGATGTATCTCATTTACTATCTGTCAAACAAAAACTACTTTACGGGTCCTCCGTGTACCGCGGTCCTTTTGGTTCAATACTATCCCATCTGCAGACTCTGCAACTAATCTCTGTGGGCTTGATCAGCAGGCGCCTGAGCGTACTACGACACATATTGGATAGGGCACCAGCCCCAACCCCAACCCTTATACAGCGCCACTAGCAGTAGAGTGCAAGGCAAGGTAAAAGCCCAGTAGATCCAAAACCGGGACGAGACAACCACATCTTCCGACCAGGTCAGCGTAGGTACCGCAAAAAGCGTGGCGAAGAAAGTCCTAGGCAAGAAAAAAATGGTCATTAGTGCCACCACTTTCATCGAGGCACTGTTATCCTTTGCGGAGGAGGCGATCTGTAGGCTTGTGGTTGCGTCGTTTTGGTTGATAAGGTTAAACATCTGCCATCAGCTATCAGTATGCCAAGCATGGTCCTCTATCGCGGAAGTGTCAAGGGGAAGCGGTTCTTACCACAGAAAGCTGGTTTCTTGCCCTCTCCTGTAGGTACCTAGTGTCCTTCTCTCTCGCCGCAACCTGCTTGCGAACGAGCTTCAGGGCCTCCGCGGCCTTGCCCAGACCCGATCCTCCCTCTCGGATTAGCGCACAAGACCTACCCGCCGCCTCCGTCAGCAGTGGTGCAATATCACCAAACTCATCTGCAATCTCAATATGCCGTAGCACATTTGCCAGCGCGGCGGTTGAAAAGCCCACTATCTGTGACATCTCAGCGAAGTTGCCCAGCTGCGGCTTCCATGTCTTGCCGTGGCCTCTGTTCCAGGACTCCCAGCATCCGTACCCTGTCTGGCTCTCAGCCTGGCGAATAGTCTGCAACTCGTTGGTGAGGATGCTCTCGATCCAGCGGTGGGTTTCCAGGAGTGCGACAAAGCGCAGCAGCCAGGGGTGGGCGACCAGATCTCTCTGCAATTCAAGGGTTTTGGCGAAAGTGCGGAAAATTTCACAGCTGTCGCCGACGCTGTCGGAGTGCCTGGGGATGAGGATACCTCTTGTCCATCTCGAGGAATGGTTGTAGGACCAAATGAGGCAAACCGAGATTGACTTCAGATTAAAGGTGTCTAAAAATTTCTCTGACCCGATCGAAGACTCGCTTTGAAAGTCCATAAGTCCATAACTCTCTCTCTGGAGCATGTGCAGCACGTAGGGCTCCAGTTTGAAGGCGGTAAACAGGTCCAAGAAGATGTCTTGGGTGATTTGCAGCTCTCCATAAGGGTGTCTGTTAATTCTGACGAGAAGTAAACCGGCCGCGGGCTTTTGAGAGTCTAGCTCTGGCGACGTCCGTGTAACTCGGTGAATCAGGCTGCGCGCCCTGGTGCTCTCTTATTTGAAGACCGTCGTGTTTGGATACGCGAGAGTCTCCAACACATGATGAGTGCCGCTCTGTAGACTGAACTTTTGCTCGGAGAAGAATTTATCTTTAGCTTGTTGTCGAAGGCTGTCCATGCTTGATCGCTCTGATGCGAGCAGTTAGGGAGGACATCTTTCAGGCTGCAATGTTAGAAAGAATCGACCCCGTGGTGGCGTAAGATGAATGTGCGCAAAGCGTCGCCTGTCACTTGGAAAATCTGCCTGGAGCTTAAATCCCTCCCGGGCGGTGTACGATGCCACTTATGGTCGCGGGATCGCACGATAGGAGTGAGAGTTCAACCCCAAAACGTGACCACGGTTAGCGCAGCCCATTTGACGAGGGGTAGGAGCGCAGTGAGGGTTGAGTGGTCGACCGTGCTTTCTTGGCCCCGTCAAGGCATGCGTTGTGGCTCAGCTTGCATGCCTTTCTTTTTGCGAGTGTGCAGATCCGTTCCTCTTTTACCTTTGAAATAACATACCTTCAAAGGCGGAATCTGGCTGAATGAGCGGGAAAAGCAACATCAGATTTTAGGTTGGAATTGGGTTAGGCTGTGTCACGTCAAGTCTTTTGGGGAAGGAAGGGTGTTGACCAATGTTAATGAGAAACTTGATATTAAATACACCGCCACACCCAAGTAGCGACTTGATTCGCTTCAATAACTAGTCCCGTATCCAAAAAGAGCGCACCCCGACAAAATCTTCCTGCAATTTTTGGTGGCTTTACCTTTGTCGAACAAAAGGATTCAAGACGGTCGGCCATGAATCTCGTCTTACTACTAATTCCTCGAAGTGTTGTCCTGAAGCGACCTAGTTCAGAGCTCACGGGATCCTGTGAGCAGGCGCATGCGGTCTCGCCGATACGGTCAAACCTCAATGGCTAGTTGCTTGACCTTTCTGACGTCAGTGTCCGATTCCACAGAGTGACATAGCCTAGAGAACTCCTCCACGTCTGACGCCTTGCTTTCCCCCAGTATCAGGTGTCTGCCGCCTCTCCTGGGCGCGTTACATTAGAGAGATAATACGCGGGAGGTTTACAAGAGCTGTTTGTATTTGGGAACGCGGCGCCAGCAACTCCGCACAACTCCCGGATTTTTCGCAAGACTTTCGCAATGCACAGTACATTCTAGGCTTTCTAGCTATTCCGCTGCCCTAGCTATCGCGTGGTGTTCTATAAATTGGCTAGTCGAGAAAGCGTTGAATTAGAACATAAAGATAGGAGAAGAGAAGTCAGCTGGAGGCGGACAGCCGATTAAAGTCTGGCACTGTGGGGCCCAGAGGCAGCGGCGTAACAAGCCAGAAGAGAGGCCAGCTAAGAGGGAAGCAAAGATGGGAGGAAGGAATAAAGGATAGAAAAGATGGGACGAGGAAGGAAGATCGAGGAACAGCGAGCTCTCTATAACCAGGCCAAGCGGCGAGGGAACACTAACCCCGATCGGGTGGGGCTAAACCGGTAGAGACAGCGCACCGGTAGCCAGACTACATATAAATAAATGCAAACACTATCCAGTAGTCAACAAGTATACTCACCTTGATTCCAGCCTAGACGGGACATCATCAAAGGACAAATTGAAAGCTGCGAGCGGCTTACTAAATCTTGCATACTAAAGCTATAAATATTTGTTGTGTACAAGCACAACGCAAGAGTGCATCTACTCCTAGCTTCTCTCATCATGACAGTCAAAAGCTGCGTAAAGCGCAACAACTCGATAATCACATCTTCCGAAGGCAGGCCACCATCTCAGCACCTTAAGAACAACCGTGTCCGACATCCAGATGGAGCCCAGCCGAGCAGACTTTTGCCATCCTTTCCAGCCTTATGATATTCAGCTTCAGTTTATGAAAGATCTGTATCAGACTATCGATGAAGGGAAGGTTGGTATTTTCGAATCTCCTACCGGAACTGGAAAGTCATTGAGTCTTATCTGTGGCTCCTTGACATGGCTTAGAGACCATAAACGGAGTGTGCTTGAAGGCCCTACTGGAAATGTGGAGCCTGGCGATGACCCTGACTGGATGATTGACGCAGAAAGACAAGAACGAAGACGTGCCGTATTACAACACAGGGAGGAGCTCGAAGGAAGACTTTCTGAAGTGCGGAGACAAGAAACAGCACGAAGGAAAAGGTTTTCTAATCAAGTTCGGTCGTCTAAAAAGCTTGTAAGCCCTGTCGAAGTCATGCAGAAACAAACCTGATTCACTCCAGCGTACTCATCAACCGGAGATATTGGATTCTGCGGCAGAAACCGACGACTTTGAATTCCTCCCAGAAGAATGCGACAGCAAGGTTGTGACTGAAGGAAACGGCTATCCTGGGCCAGGAAAGGATCATGATGCCCTGTCGTCCAATACTCAGGCACTTCTTGCAAAGCTGAACGGCGTGAAGAGAACCGTAGAGCAGATCTCGGCTTCTAAAGAGACGAGAATTATCTTTTGTTCTCGCACGCATTCTCAGCTCACACAATTCGTGAACGAGCTGAGACGGGTCAAGCCACCTCTAAGCATCACCTCATTAGATGAGAATGGGCTGGGCGAATCATCACCTCCCCAGGAGGAGGTTGTCAAGCACTTGTGCCTTGGTTCAAGGAAAAATCTTTGCATCAACCACAAGGTATCACGACTGGGATCAGTGGCAGCCATCAACGAGAGGTGTCTTGACTTACAAAAGCCAGGTGTGCCTGAGGAGCGGAAATGTCCCTTCCTACCGAAGAAGGATAACGAGGATCTGATCGACAGTTTTCGAGACCATGCTCTAGCCGAAGTGTATGACATCGAAGACTTGAGCAATATAGGCCGAAGCATGGGTGTCTGTCCATATTACGCCTCTCGAGCCGCTATAGACTCGACCGAGATCTTGACGTTGCCCTACCCTCTGCTTCTACAAAAGTCAGCTCGCGAAGCTTTGGGCGTTTCTGTCAGAGATCACGTCGTCATTATCGATGAAGCTCACAACCTCATGGATGCTATCACTGACACTTATTCGTGCTCAGTTTCTCTACATCAGGTAGAGACGGCAACTTCGCAAGTTATGGTGTATGTCCAGAAGTTCAAGGACCGGCTGAAGGGCCAAAATAGGATGTATATTACGCAGCTAATTCGTCTACTCAATTCCATCTCGGACTCTCTCCGCTCTACAGCAAGCAACACGCGTGAAAATGAAGCAATCATCACTTCCGGCCAATTACTCTCAGGAAAAGGGGTAGACCAGATCCAGCCTCATAAACTGATCAGCTATCTTCAAGAGAGTAAACTGGCTCGTAAAGTTGAAGAATACGTTCAGTACACTGACGAAGCGGCCAAAGGTGGAATTAACCATCCTCATGATCGTGGCGCATTGCAGGTCTTCCAGAGTTTCATTGCCGTTCTGATGAATCCGTCCTCTGAAGGTCGTTTCTTCTTCTCCAGAGACGAAGACGGCCGCATCCAGGCTCGTTACACGCTGCTCGACCCCCGAGAACACTTTCGAGACATTGTGGAGGAAGCCAGAGCAGTTATCCTGGCGGGTGGGACCATGTCCCCGATGTCTGATTACAAAGACCATCTCTTCTCCTATCTACCACCCGACCGCCTTCAAGCATTCAGCTTCGGCCACGTGGTACCACGTGAGAACATATTCGCACGATCGGTCAGCACGGGCCCATCAGGCGTGGAATTTGACTTCACCTTCGAGAAACGAAAGTCAGAGAAAACGCTCATAGAGCTTGGGAGGATGTTCATCAGCTCTTGCCAGGTCATTCCCGATGGTGTTGTGGCCTTCTTCCCTAGCTACGACTTTCTCAGCCATGTCGTCACGGTCTGGAAGAGGGCTCCTCTACCCAGCACCCATCCCAACTCACACAACACCTCCGCACAACCCTCCATCAGCATCTTCTCCGCTCTCAACGCCATAAAACCCATCTTCTACGAAACCAAGAAAGACCCTCACCAACCAAAATCCTCGCCTCAAACCCCAACCACAAACCCCGAACCAACCACTCCACCCCACCGAACCTCTCCCTCACTGCCACCCGCCCAAGAATCCCTCCTGCAATCCTACACCCGCGCCATCGACCAAAACCGAACCCGAAGCCCCAACCACCCCACCCCCAACCCGGAAGCCAAACCCACCGGCGCCC